TTTGGAACCAAGTTAGAGAGAGGAAGAGAAAGTCAAAGGAGGTAATAAGGGGACAGAATGTTCTATGTAGGTCCCTCTAAGAATTCTGGCTTTTACTCTGAGATGGGAAGTTTATGTTTTGTTTTGGTTTTTTATAAGATGACTTGTTGTTGTTGAGTACTGTATAGTCGGAACCAACCCACAGTTGACCCTCTGGTGGCTTTTCAGAGGCAGTTAATCGCACGAGAGGAGATTGCCCATCCTTCTCCCACGGAGCAGCTGGTGGCCTTGAACCATGTGCTTTTGGGATTGCAGCGCAGCAATCACTACAGATGTATTTACAGTATATTTTGGGAGGCAAGGCAGAAGTAAGGATGATATTGCAATAATCAAAGCACGGGAGCCGTGGACATAGAAAGAGGGGGGTCAGAGTTTACAAACATTCTGAAGGGGAGTATTGATAAGACATGTTCATGGATCAGACATGGATAATTAGAAGAAAAGGAGTCTAGGATGACACCAATGTTTTTTAATAACTGTAATTGCCATTTACAGTAAGACTGTAGACAAAGTGGATCGGGTAAGAGGTGGCTGAAGATAGGTCATTAGTTTTGGACATGTTGAGGATGAAGCAGAAACTGAAGTGGAGATGTCCAACAGGAAGCTGGCTGTATGTGGAACTGCAGTTCAGGGGAGAGTTCCAGGTTGGGGATACCAGTCTGGACTCCCGAGCATGTAGGCGATAATGAAAACCTTGAGGCTGGATAGGGCCACTTAACCAGTAACTTAGAAACAAAAGCATAAGGACTCTGGGGCATTCTGGGGCACTCTAACATTTGGGGGCTGGGGATATAAAGGAGGGAAACAGCAACTGTGACTGAGGAGAAGTGAGAAAGGAGGGAAATCAAGATCGACAGGTATTCTGGAAACCAAAGGAAAAAAACGCTTCAAGCACAGCATATGAACACGCGCGTACAGGTCAAGTTAAGATGAGCATTGAGAATTGAACAATGGACGTCGTGTTAGGTGTTCTCATGGAGACTCTGATGCGAAGCGACCCCAAGTTCAACATAACCAAACTCTGCCCAATCTTACACCATGCTCACAATTTCTGCTACACTTTAATCCACTGTGGCCGTTATGGCATCAATTTGCTTCACTGAGGGTCTTCCTCTCCACTGATCCTCCACTTTTTTAAGCATAATGGCCTTTCCCAGGGACTGGCTCTCCTGATGTCCAAAGCATGTCACAAGTCTCAACATCCTCACCTCGAGGGAGCACTCTGCTTGGACTTCTTCCAAAAACAACAGACTCAGCAATATGAAATTACTGGTCAGCCTGAAGGGAGGATTCAAGAGTGACTGGGAAGAAGGAAGTGATGGAAAGAAGATAGAAAACTGCTTCAAAGGCAGGTGGAGGAAGGAGATACAGCTAGAAGAGAATGTATGGCAGAGAGACATGGTTATTTTTAAGTATGGCAACAATCTGGAACAAGGTGTGTACGGCGGGGATTCCTGGGAGAGGAGGGAGCAGAGCAGGGAATAAAATGTGCAACAATAAAAAAAATATTTTTATAAAAAAATGACATAGCTGTTTTTCTGTTCTTTTTTTAATTATGATTTCACTAAACGTTGACGGAAAGGATGAATTTTCATTAATTCGATGATACACATTTTCCTCCCTCTCCCCAATTCACCTTATAATGCATTGTTCCAGATTGTTAACTGTCACACACATAAGGTCTAATCATCCGTTCCTTTCAGATAGTCCTTCCACTTGCCCATTCCAGTGCAGTGTTCATCCATTCATTTCCTGTTCTCCCCTCCTCCACGTCTATCTTATTTTTATTACCGTTGTCTTAAGCAGTATTTATCTTTTTGTGATCTAGCCATATTGTGTAGTGTTTTACAAGTTCATTGCTTTTCAGTGCTGCATAATATTCCATTGTGTGAACATACCACATTTTTTCTATCTATTCACTTATTGACAGGCACTTTGGCTGCTTCTATCTCTTCATTCTTGTGAATAATGCTGCAATAAATATGGGTGTGCGTATATCTGTTTGCATCATGGTGCTGGTTTCTTTAGGGTATATTCCCAGAAATAGGACAGCAGATCAAGTGGTATTTCTATTTCCAATTTTTTAGAAAGCACCAGACAGTTTCCCACAGTGGTTTTACCATTTTATATTCCCACCAGCAGTGAATGAAAGTGACCTTCTCAAAATCAAATCCTTAAGCACATTAAAACACTTCTCCAACAGGGTAAAAAGCAAGTCCACAAACTGGGAAAAAATATTTGGCAATGATATCTGACAAGGAACTTATATCTAAAATTTACAGAATACTCACACATCTCAAAAAGAAAAAGACAAACAACCCAATCACAAAATGGGCATAAGATATGAATACACTTCACTGATGAAGAAATTCAGATGGTAGGCGAGCTCTGGTGGCCTAGTGGCAAGAAGCTGCACTGCAATCCTAGAGGTACGTGGTTCGAATCCACCAGTTGCTCTGCTGGAGAAGGAGGAAAAATCTCCTCCTGTGCCAGCTGGATCTGATTTGACGGTACACGCACACAAAATAATAAAAATAAAATTTTTTTTAAAAAAAGAAATTCAGATGGTCAACAAACACATGAAGAAATGTTCAAAAGCCCTAGCTTTAGAGAAATGCAAATCAAAACAACGAGATACCATCTTTCCCCAGCAACAATAGCAAAGTTCAATAGGGCAAGGCAGCAAACAACAAATGCTGGCAAGGATGTGGAGAAATGGGAAATCTCATTTACTGCTGATTCTTCTGTTTTTTTAAACAAGAGAAATTACAGGAGACAGATAAATAGGAAGCAACGCCATCAGCAAAGAATGAAACTATTAAAAATGTAAGAAACTTAGAGAAAGAGGAGTGCAATATTTTTGAGGGGGGTAAATGAACGAGGGGAGGATCACTAGGCAAAGGCAGGTAGACATACATTTACAGTAAGACTTGACATTTTGGTTTAGTTTATCCTTTTTTCTACTTCTATTCAGCTCCACAGGTTCAACTGTGGAGTGGAGTGGAAGTTGGATTAGACAGAGCAGGGTTGGATTTTTTCCTATGAAAGTGTGATAAAGAAAGAAGGACAGAGATGAGATGATGTCTGCAAGGGAGTGATTATAAGGATAGACCACAAAATCTAAGCTGGTTAAGGAGGAAAGTGAGGAAATGGGGCAGATAAAGGACAGTGAAAGGGAGTTAGGGTCAGTAGATTACAAGGATGAGGTATAAGGATTGTTGAAGTCAGGAGAAGAGGGAAGCTGGATATATAAGAGGGGGAAGCCAGAGAGTAAGATGCTTGAAAATGACTCTAGAAAGATGAACATGCGGGAGATAAGAAGCTCTGCAGCCAGGTTCTTAACCGTCTCTGAGTCATGAATCTTTTGATCCCTCAATCCCTTCTCAGAACAATCTAAGTTGTATAAATACACAGTAGTACAAATAATACTGACTAAGAGCTATTGGTATTTTTTTAAAATGTGTGATAGAGAAATATTATGCACTTCTAACACATTAAGTAACAAGTTCTAATGGTGAGTTTTACAACACCCATGATTCTCATAGAGTAATGAATGTAGACAGTATTTCATGATATCTGTCAGAACTGTAATGCTGATATACAAGTATCCGTTGCTATTAGTAATACATACTAAGATTTCTATTGGTAACAAAGTTATAGAAATGATGGCTATTATTGTAGTCTATTGCCAAAGGACATAATTGAAGTAGATGTAAATTTAATTAGAGAATTGTGAAAATAATGGGAATCCCTGCGTTTCCACCAAAGTTTGGGGACTCCTGATTTTAGGATCTGATCATGACAGTGAGTGGCTAAGGTAGGATGGGGGACAAGGTCACAAGGAGATGAGAGGTAAAGGGTGATGGAGTAAAAGCAAAAGCACTGGATATTATAATATCTACGTGAATATTACCATTTCCAAGAATTCTGAAACAGTAGTCCTAAGGCAATGATGTGCACCGGCACCTAAAATCTCAGTCTCTGCATGTAGCAGCCCCCAGTGCAAAAGGCAGCTGCTTCTACTTCTGAGCAGTTACTATTACAGAGAAAATTCACCTTATTCTGAGTCAAATTCTAACTATTATTGAACATCTAACTAATATTGAGCATCAAGCACAATCTTTTAGGACATTCATGATTATATAAACCTCTCTGGCTCAGGGAAGTTCTTGAAGCAAATGAAAAGAGTTCTAATTATTCTTTTCTTTTTTTTTCTTTTTTATTATTTTGTGTGCGTGTACCGTCATATCAGATCTGACTGGTACAAGAGGATATTGCGCCTCCTTCTCCGGCAGAGCATCTGGTGGATTTGAACTGTGTTCCTCTGGGATTGCAGTGCAGCTTCTTGCCACTAGGCCACCAGAGCTCCCCTTTTTTCATTTTTAAAAATATTATTATTTGTATGTGTGTGTACTATGAAACTGGATCTGACTGGTACAGGAGGAGATTGTCCCTCCTTCTCCAGCCAAACATCTGGTGGATTCAAACCATGCACCTCGGGGATTTCAGTGCAGTTTCTTGCCCCTAGGCCACTAGAGCTCACCCAACTATTCTCTTTTCTAGGCAGAACATTGTCAAATCTCTCAATCATTCTGCTCTAGGACTTCTGTTTTCTTGGTTCCTCTCCTTCGGATGTACTCTGCTTTGCTGATCTCCTTGAGTTAACAGGGTTAGTGGCACTACTTCTTAACTTCTGTTCTACTGTTCAATCATTATGGTAAATAACCAAGTGGATGTGGGCATAACAATGTTTCTAAAAAGCAATAAAACATCTTACACATACAAGTTATAAAAAAAGCACCCTCCTTCACAATGTGCAGTCTTCTAGTCCTGGGAAGATCACAGTGATGAAAATGATAGCAATGGAAGTGCTGATTAAAAAAAAAGACTATGACAGTGTGTGATATTCCTAACACATGGCAGAAAAGACTATTAGTTAGTGCAGTAGAAGGAATACTTACAAGAATATCAGTATTTTCAAAATAATTCCTCCAGTATGGTCTGATTTTCCTCTGTCCACCAATATCCCATACATTCAGTTTAAAACCTTGTGATTGTACACTTTTGATGTTAAAACCCTGAAACAGAGGCAAAAACACCAAACATTATTATGCCTTGATATCATGATTCTGACAAAGTTACCTTTAAGAGCTATGTTATTTACTAATCCTGAGGTACCCTGCTATATGTGACACTGGGAATGCTGAAAATGCTGAGGCAGAGCAAAGAGAAGACACATTCATATACATCTTGGCTAGTCTGATTGTAATGTCAGTGTTAATATCATGACTACAATGATATTTTTTTATAATGCTGTTGTTATGTGCCATCGAGTTGGAACCGACTTAAAGTTGACCCTCCAGTAGGTTTTCAGAAGCTGTAAATCACACAGGAGATTGAAGAGCATCTGATGGATTTGAAATGAGTGTCTTTGGGTTGGTAGTACAACTTCTTAACACTAGGCCACCAGAGCTCTGTCTCCTATAATGAGTACATATATACAAATTGTTCAGAAGGACTTGGTGTAAGAGCAACCCTGGTAGTCAATATGGATGACACTCCTTGATGAGTCCTCAGGCTGATAAACTTTAACAGGATGTAACATGCAACTAACAGAAGTCCAGAAGCTTAATCTGAAGACTCAACAGAATAGAACAAATCTTGAGTTTAAAAAGAGGCAAGAACTGCACATTCAGAGGGTTGTTTTCTTCAAATGGAGTGCATAATCTGCCAAAACAACAGGAATGTCTTGGGAAAAGGGTAGCCAGAGTGCTCCTTGGAGGCATTTTGGGGATATTGCTAGGACAGGCCATTCTTTGGAAAGCAATATCATGCTTGGAAAGGAGGAGCATCAGCAAAAGAGGGGATGACCCTCAATGAGATGGATCAACACAGCAGCAATGGGCTCATGTGTCAGAGATGTAAGGATGGAACAGAATGTGAGTGTTCAGATCTGTTATTCATAGGTTTGCTATGAGTTGTCCTCAACTTGATGGCACCTAACAACAACAAAAACAACATAAGAATTAATAGCTAAAGGGCGGAGCTGAACTGTGGACACAACACGGGAAGCTGGGTTTGTAACTTGAGTATCTACCATATGGGGAAAATAGGATCTGCAGACACAGTGATGGGAACCCACATGAGGGCATTTAGAATTTCCTAACAGGTACTTCTGATGAGTACAATTTCTCAAAGAGACATTCTGAGGAAGGTAATCAATCCGGGGCAGGCCGGGAGCTGGTGTAAAGAGTAGCACATTAATCAGACCTCTGAGGTTTGCAGAACATCAGGAGGAGCAATTTTTTTTTAAATCTTCTTGCAAGAATGATATAGTAAAACAAAGATATGGAAAATCCAATCAACTGCTCACAACCACAGAAGAAACATTTCACCCAGAATAACTGGGGTTGTCTCCATAAATATTTGCTTCATCCGGCAGTCGGCCAGCACCGCTGTCTAGCACAGACGGTCAAGGTCTCGTGTGGAGTTCTATCACCAAATTTCCACAAAGGAGAAACACACTAGATAGAAACTGAGGGTGAGGCTGACCACTGTACTCCTCAAACACTAATGAGAAAACTTATCAGGACTCTAAAGGGTAATACCTTAAGGTGATTGTAAAAGGCTGCTTCATTGACAAAATCAGGTGTGTGTCTTTAAGAAGTTTACACTCACTATGATACTAACTGTTAAATTCAGTAACATCAAGTCCTTTTTTAGAATGAGGTAGAGAATAAATTAGAGTGAGCCTTACAATTTGGTCATTTATATTAGCTGCTTTCAATTTGTCAGGCATCAAACCCAAAAACTGTACTAGGAAATTATTTTAAGGAAACATAGTGAATGGGCACAAACATTTAGAGGTATGTATTGCACCAGTGCTTAAATATATATTACAATGTAGAAAGATGTTTGTAATACTTAAGTGAAAAAGCCATATTTATTATAGGCAATCTCTTCCCATGCAATTTATACCCTCAAAAACCCACTGAAGTAAAATACCATGTTTATGAATGATTGTCTAAAACACAATGTACATGAATGGTTATGTGTGAACCAATTAAAAAAACTACCCAACCCACTAGAGGGTTAGCTATGACTCCAACTCAACAGCAAGTGTTTTGTTAGTTGAGTCATCATATATATGTGAAGAAAAAAAGACTAATTCTACATTTTATGGATACTTTCTCAGTCTACTACAATGGCCATCTATTACTTTTTCTGATATAAAACAAAAAACACACAGAAGTTTGTTTTAAAAGAATAAATGTAGAACCTTGACATCATATAACAAAGCCACCTTATGGCATATCCAACAAAGCCTGAGAGAATCAGATCTTGGGGTTTGTGAAACTTTGGGTTCATTTCCACATTTGCGGTGAGAAAGATTTCTGAGTGTTCCACAGAGAGGCAGCCTATTGCTAATACTCCAATAAAGTAGCTCTTTTTTTTTACCCCCTGGCTGAAATTCTGACAGACTAATAGTTGTTTTCAGCCCTTCTAGGCTAGACTACTGCAATTTGTTCCTCTTAAGGCTATGTATTAGGTTAAATTTGTCCAAAAGCTGTAAAATTGCTCCTTGGGTAGCAGCTAAAATGACTTTTCAGCAAAGAGTTGCAAATCAGTGAGACTCACAATGCATACACTGGTAGCAGCCACTCAAACTCAACCCCGATGTCTTAGCACAGAAAATGTGCTAAATAACCCTGATTTTCATAAAACCACTATACTGAAGTCTTCAAAGCTATTAAGAACAACAGGGCTGACCCAAGTAAAGAAGCCCAGGAGTTTGGTCAAATCAGAACTTTTCAGGATTTCCTAAAGAGAATAAAATTAAATAAACACATTAGAATTCTTCGAAAAAAAAAAAAAGAATTCTTCGAGCCAAACTACTATTTAAATTTCCAAATTGTCACACTACCATTGTCGTATCTTCTGTTTTGTAGCTTTAAGAAAGAGGAAGGTCAATGACATTCATTTAAAAAATATATGTATCTATTTGTAAAAAAAAACCTGGTATATATTTGTACTTAAGTTTGAAAAACACACATAAGGATATTACAATGGCTTTTGTGAATACTCTAGTTTTTTCATATATACTATTTTCTATATATATGAATTTCACAATCAGGGAAGATAAAAGCTGTTTTTTTTTAAGTTGTTATTAAAAACAGGTAACCATTAGGGAGCTCTAGTGGCCTAGTGGTGAGAAACTGCACTACAATCCCAGAGGTAAGCAGTTCTAATCCACCAAATGCTCTGCTGGAAAAGGAGGAGCAATCTCCTCCTCTACCAGTCAGATCAGATTTGACAGTACACACACACACACACACACACACACACACACACACACACACAAAAAAAAAATTTTAAAAAACCAAAACAGCAAGTAACCATCTGGATCTGAAGGATCAATTGTATCTCTAGCCACTTTGTTGTTGTTAGAACAAATCAGCAAAATAAAATTCCAGGTTATTGTTAGACAACACTGTTGCATCTCTATATACTTTTTGACATTTTAGATTATATGAACTTGTTTTCTAAAATAATGCTTAGAAGTGGGCAGAATTCTATTTCTCATTTTGCCTTTACAATTACTATCTTCCTTGATTCACACAACCATGTGGGGCCAACAGCGTTCACCTGTGTAGGTGTGATGTGGCTGATGTCTTCAGATGCAAGCTGCTTCAGAAGAGTGGTCTTGCCAGCATTATCCAAGCCCAGGAGAAGGATTCTCACCTCCTGGTCTGGTGCACTTTTCAATTTGCGTAGAATTGAGAGTAAGCCCTTGAACAACCATAAAGAGAGAGATTACTTTTGGGACATTGGTCAGCTATTACTGGACATCTGAATATCTCTTCCTCCTTAAGGGGGGGTGGGGAGAACCATCCTAAAATCAAACCCTTCTGGTTACAGACAACTTATGTTATTATTACTTTCACTGTTATTTATTTCTCCCCTTCTTTTCAAGTTTTGACAGCAGCCTAATCTATCAGCTGAATAAATAGCATAGCTTATTCTAGTTTCTTCAATTAATCCAGCTTAGCACTCACTCTCAAATCTCCTGGGAGTAGCAACTACAACCCCCTTATATGCCTATATTCCTTTATACAAAATTAAGAGTAGAACATGTACTAGATTAGGCCTAAAGGTATTTTTTTCTCTTTTACTAAACTGAAGTGTCTTCCCATTAAAGATTAGAGTTTTTCTATCTCTTGAATCTTTAGGTTTTTCAATACCTAAAGTCTATTATTTATTAGATAGACATGACTAAATAGTTGTGAATTAAATAAAATTATCTAGCCAATTAACACAGTATTTTAATAGGTGCTAATAAAAAAATATTCAAGCTGAGTCAGAAGAGACCATGGAATAAAGAATATCACTGCTGATGTCAGATGGATCTTGGCTGAAAGCAGAGAATACCAGAAAGATGTTAGATGGATCTTGGCTGAAAGCAGGGAATATCAGAGGAATGTCTACCTGTGTTTCATTGACTATGCAAAGGCATTTGACTGTGT